GGGGTTGCTGTGGAGGGAGAGAGTAGTGGGGGGGGGGCTAGAGTTTAGGGTTCCGTAGCCTAATGACTTGGTGGCGGGTACGGGAGTGGGGCAGGCGGTGGCCGGGGAGAGCTCCGAACTGGGCCCGGGGCCCGGCGGGGAGCCCGAGAAGCTCGAGGCGGGGAGGGGCTAAAACCCCGGATGGGGGCGGAGGGACAGCGAGATTGTGGGGAGCGCGGTATGTGGGGGCAGGTGGGGCCGCGTCCGGGTGAGAGCTTTCTGGTCTGTCCCGGACGCAAAGTGGCGTTGGATGTGTGAGCCTGTGTGTGTTTAGGGTGGGGGTGAGGGGCGCGCCGGGCCTCGTGCTCGAGTAGAAGGGGCCGGAGGGCGGGGAGCGGCTCAGCGTGGTCATCCTGGACCCTGGGGGCAGGCGGGCGGCGTGTTCGGGCGGAGGGGCCAGGACCGTAGAGCCGGGCCCGTCAGGAACTCGGGACACTGGGCGCCTGTTAAGGATGGGGCAGGCGGCAGCCCAGGCTCGGTCCCTGGAGCGGTATGGCGGGGTGGGGCGCTGCGATCGGAGTAGACAAGTCTGGAGAAACCGTGGGGGGGAGGCGGGGCGCTAGGCCTCCGGTGGGGGGAAGGGGAGCGCTATATCGAGGCTCTAGAGGGCGCCGCGCCCAGGCTCCGCCCCTGGCGGGGCGGAAGGGGGAGCAGGGGCGGGCCCGGCACAGCAGGGGCTTGCTCGCCAGGCTGAGGGACTTGGGAGAGCAAGGGGTTCGCTTTGGATCTCCAAGGTTTAGAGGTGGTGTTTTACCCAGACTCTTTCCTAGTACCTTGACTCAGCTTTTATTGCTTTCACAGATCCACCTCCGACCCTTAAGCCAGAGACTCAGGTGAGGTTTCTCTTACCTTTGCAGCCTAGATTTACTAGCCAACTCTCGCCTCCCCTTCTTCTCTCCCTCTTCCTCTACCTTTTCCAGATTCCTTATTCCTGGGACTATGCTTTTGGAAATGCCCCTTTTAAACTCTGTGTGATACAAGTTTCCTTCCTTTCAGCCACCTGAAAAACGTCGGAGAACAATTGAGGATTTCAACAAATTCTGCAGTTTTGTCTTGGCCTATGCCGGTTACATCCCCCCTAGCAAAGAGGTAGGAACAGGAGGTTAACTGACTTGAGGGTAATGGCCTAATACCCTAGAAGGTCTGTTGAGCTACTGGACTGTACTTATTTGTAGGAGAAGCCTATCAGAAGTTATATGTAATACTTGGGCAATAAGGAACTCTAGTATCAAAACTAGTATCTGGGGTGGGGGTGGGATTAGTAGAGATAGGTGGCTGGTGCAGCAGTGAATGGTCTTGGGGTTCTGTTAATGAAAGGTGTTTTGGATAAATTTTTGGAAGCTGAAAATTGTAACCAATGAAACTATAAGGAAGTCAGAAATATGACTCTTGTTGGATACATACTATGTTGCAAAGGCAGTGGGAATTGGGGAGAAGGCTAGAATTTAAGGGCAGAAGTAACGAGGTGCTCAAGAAGAGATGCTAATGGGAGTTGAGGTGGGGATAAATTTTTGAGTACACTGAAATTTGTTGGTTTTGGTGGGATGTTTGGGGGTAGATTAGTTCCTAGTTTTTAATCTGGGTTTGCAGGGAACTGAGTGAGATGACACTGGGCCCCCTGCTCACCCTGGTCTTGTCCGCCTTTTAAGGAAAGTGACTGGCCAGCCTCTGGCTCCAGCTCTCCATTGCGAGGTGAGAGTGCGGCAGATAGTGATGGCTGGGACTCAGCCCCCTCAGATCTCCGAACCATCCAGACCTTTGTTAAGAAGGCAAAGTCATCCAAGAGACGGGCCGCTCAAGCAGGTCCCACCCAGCCAGGACCCCCAAGGTCCACTTTCTCTCGTCTTCAGGCCCCTGACAGTGCCACCCTGCTTGAGAAGATGAAGCTCAAGGACTCTCTCTTTGATCTAGATGGGCCCAAAATGGCATCTCCACTCTCTCCCTCATCCCTCACACATGCCTCCCGGCCCTCTGCTGCTCTCGCCCCAGTACCCCTTTCCCAGGGGGACCTCTCCCAGCCTCCTCGAAAGAAGGACCGAAAGAACCGAAAGTTGGGGCCAGGAGGGGGTGCTGGTTTTGGGGTGCTTCGGAGGCCTCGGCCAGCCCCTGGGGATGGAGAAAAGAGGTCTCGAATCAAGAAGAGCAAGAAGCGGAAGTTGAAAAAGGCAGAGCGGGGGGATAGACTCCCACCTCCTGGGCCTCCCCGTGCACCTCCCAGTGATACAGACTCTGAAGAGGAGGAGGAAGAGGAGGAGGATGAGGAGGAGGAAGAGATGGCAGCAATGGTAGGGGGTGACACCCCAGCCCCTGTGCTGCCAACACCCCCTGAGGCTCCTAGGCCCCCCCCCACAGTACACCCTGAAGGAGCCCCTCCCACTGACAGTGAAAGCAAGGAGGTGGGCAGTACTGAAACAAGCCAAGATGGAGATGCTAGCTCCAGTGAAGGAGAGATGCGGGTCATGGATGAGGACATCATGGTAGAATCCGGTGAGAAGTTTGGGGTTGCCCAGGGGCAGCTGGGATGGTGGGTATGGGGCTGTTACGGATGCAACAGTTCAAGCACAACACCAAACCGACCTTTTTTTCCCCAGGTGATGACTCATGGGACCTGATCACATGTTACTGCAGAAAGCCCTTTGCTGGGCGGCCCATGATTGAGTGCAGCCTCTGTGGAACATGGATCCACCTCTCCTGTGCGAAGATAAAGAAGACGAATGTCCCTGACTTCTTTTACTGCCAGAAGTGCAAGGAACTGCGGCCAGAGGCCCGGCGGTTAGGGGGGCCTCCCAAATCTGGAGAGCCCTGACATCACCGTCTCTAGGCTGGAACTTCCAAATGACAGCATGACTTACTTGGGAACTGAGCCTCAGGGTCCTCAGCCTATCCCCTGAAGCTTGGATATTGTCCCACTTCCAGGCAGGAATTCCCAAGGGAGACTGGTTTGGAAATGAGTTCTTACTCTACTCTTCCTTCCCAGCTTGTGGACTTGAACTGGGACCCATTACAGTTGGGGGTGGGAGGCTGTGTGGGTCCCTAGACATTTAATCTCTGTTCCTTGGACCTGCCACCTCTCACTTTTTGGGCCAGGGTTGGAATTGGGACGGAATGGAACAGTTGTCTATAAAACGCTAGTGTAAATATAGCACTTCCCTCCCTCATCTTTTCTTCTCTCTCGCTCCCCATTTATTCTACACTGGTTTTATTTTTAATTTTGGACTTCCCCATTTGGGCATGGCAGCTCTGGTGGAGTACCAACCAGAGCCTGGCTGAAGGAGGAAGGAAAACAGGTGACCATTCTCTCAGTCACCTCTTGTTTTTAATAATACTGGCCAGCTGTTTATGCAGGCAGCCTGCGTGTTGTGAATAAAGCAGAGTGGGCTCTTTTGTGTTTATAGCCCTCAATGACTATCCTGCATGGGAGGAAGGTTTCGGAAAAGCTTGCAGAAGATGGCTAGAGGTGGTCCTGAAACCCACCTCTCTTTAAAGTTGGAGCAGAAAATGACCGGGCTCTTGGTCTCGCACAACTATGGCCGCAATTGGCTTTATCCCATCGAATCCCCAGTCTAGGATCCCTCCTCACACCCTCACCCTATTCCCCACAGGCCTACACCCTCCATCAGATAAGAATTGCTTGGAGCCCCCTGCTTGAGGGGTTAAGCGCGGTGGGAATATGTTGCCTGCCCCCTGAGGGCAGAGGCCAACTTGGCCTAGGTATTCGTCGGACACGGGTAGGAACACATCTTGGGGGCGGGGCCGTTGAAGGGAGGCCGTTGCTGAAAGCGGTCACATGGTGGAACGTCGGTCACATGATGTGGGCGTCGCGAGAATGGGTGGGCCGGGTTTGAGTCACGTGACATGGGGAGAGGTGGGCGGGGCGCGGGAGGGTGTTCGCGGCGGTGGCAGCGGAGTCCGGGGACTTGGGTTGCTCCCCACGGCCCGCCCCCCTTTCGCCGCCACCGGGTAGACCCCCCCTTCCTCTTGCATCTCGCACTGGGGCGGTCCAGTCCGCGGTCCCCCGTCGGTTTGCGGGTGTGCGCAGGCGCGGCGGGGGCGATTAGCCCAGTTGGGTGGGCGGCGGAGCGGGAGAGAGCGCGGGCGAGACCATGGCGGGCGGCGGCGTGGGGGG